AATTAAGACTGAAGCCAAGACTTCCTACTTTTTTATATTTATTTATAAAAATGACAAATCACAGTGGTTTGCTGGATGAGGTGAATTTTGCAGATAATTAGCAGGCAGATTCATATTCTCCTACAACCTGGACATCTGACAGAGATAAAGTATATATTGCTTGTGTAATAGAGTAAAATAGCTAATTTTTAGATTTATGAACTCTAATATACCAAAATTCTCAGATGACAGGAATCAGTGAAACTGTACTGGTTTATGTGAGATGAAACAGACGCTGTGTCTCAAAGGCTATTTGGGTATAACTTTTGGATAATCTTTTGGAATAATGTATATACTTTTATGAATAACATGGTTCTCAAAATGTGTTTACTTTGGTCAGTGTTTGGTACCTGGGACAGTGTGAGTGATGAGTATGTCATTCAATTGGGAACATATTTTCTATAACCATTATTAATATATGAACTTCTCTGCTGGATTTATTTTTGTTTATAATAATAACTGAATATATTGAAGGATATTGAATTATACTGTGAGTCTTTTCCACCATATACACATTGCAATCTCTCAGACACGTGGTTGAGGTAGGAATAATATTTTTAATAAGTAAATTCATAAAACCACATAATGGAATTCTTATTACAGGCAAAAATTTGAGAAACAGTACATGGGCTATAAGCCAGGCCACTACTTGAATAATTTTTCTGCTAAGAAAGTCGGCTTTAGCATGTGTGATTTCCCAAGCGTCAGTGACAAAATGACAGACATTTGTAGTTCTTAATTATTCATAAACCACTTTAATTATACTTAGAAAGTGCATTTATTAGAAAATAATTAAAGAATAACATTACTACAGTTTATGAACAGATTGTTCAAATAAAAGGCGTTTTTGAAATTATATTTCAAATTGGATGACCACAGAGATTGATGTACTTGTGTATTACATTTTAAGGATTTTTAATGATGTTTTTTTCTGTGCCATGTAAGGGAAATTACAGTTCCCTTCAGTATATCATAATTAATGAGATCTAACACGATAACATTTCAATAGTGGTCAAAAAGAAGACAAAGATGTGACGATTATATAGGAATGCACTATACACTGATACGGATTGTTTATGATAGTCTCTTTATTATGGATAATTCATATACCTGTCTTCTAAAACAAATTAGAAGAAAAATAAGTAAAATCATTGCTACATATTGTGGCTATTGAAATAACATATGCTTGTTTCATATCTATGCACTTGCACTAGCCTAGTGATAGAAGAAAATGTGTAAAGAGAAAATGTGCAAAGCTACTCCAAATGAAACTACATTGTTGCATACAGTTACAGTTTAAATATATACCCTGTTTGATATTCATATATTCATTATGATTCTCTTTGCTGGTAAATATCTAATAATGCCAAGCTTCTTTGTAAACACGAAGTTTGCGATGTAGATGACCACCAATAAAACAATCTATCTGTATTGGTTCAAGGTATGTTGATAAGATCATATTCAGATTGTCAACATAAGATTGTGATATAGGAAAGGAATTCTTGCAGGAATAGGTAGCGTTCAATAAGGCTGTAAGTGTGTTGCATACAGGGAGGGGGACAGGGGTGTTTCACTGCTCCTTCACAGAGGTCCTTTGGTTTCACTGGGGCTCAGATCAGAAATGCAAAGGAAGTAGGAAAGGGATGGGCATTTTCAGATGCTGCAGAGTAAGACTAGTGTTTTAGGAATAAATCTATCCAGGGCTGATGACTGCTATAGGATAAGTACACTAGATAAATCACCCAGACAGAACTCTTAATGCAGTTGTGCTATGCTAACCTTTCATACTGGAGAAAACTTAATGACTTGGACTATAAAAAAGCATACCATGGCTCATCCACTTTCACAGAAGCAAGTAATCCCAGATGTTTCAAACTGTGTCTCCTTAGAATGGACAGAAATCATTATTATTTTCACCAGTCATCTTTATGTAGACCATAAAGAATCAGATCTTGTGATGGGCTGACTTACACTGTCATGCTCATTGTCAGTGAGCAGCTGGCAAGGCTGCTGATTGTCTTGCATGGATCACTTTGACTCTTTGGAAGCAATAGACTGAAGTTAAAAGTAACCATTGCTGCAGAGTTAAGCATCAGTCATTATTCTTCTACTTTTGCAATGAGTAGTTTTGAAATCCTTACCTAAAACATACTTCAGAATGGCAGTAAATGCAAAAGTAATTTCAAGAGGGCAGCAGGTATTATCCAAAGTTTTCACCCATAGTAATTTAAACAAAATTATCAACTCTCCACCCAAAGAAGAACAAGAGATAAATTTCTTAAAATTATTGCTATATTTAGCAGCTCATAACGTCACCAACATGCTCATTTCTGTGATTTTGATTTAATACAAATATTTCAAAATACAGATCTTAAAAATGCTCTCCATTTTTATTACAGGCCTATTCAATAAAATATATACCTTTGGTATAATATGTTCTGTTGTATATAGCAAACCATTTTAATTATCATCAAAAATATATTTTAGCACTTGCAAATTACAGGGGACTTTAATTCCTCAGATAACCCACATATTGGATACAGTATCTTGAACCAGCTCATAAATGGGTAGACATGATACAGATGTACATTTTCTGTAGGAAATGGAAAGTGAAAGGTCTTTTAGAATTCTAAACTTACTAATGATTAAGCTACTTTAACTGTCTTTATGCTACTTTCATAGATATATAATAAGACATTATTTTCATTGAAAATATGCTTTAAATAAGGCAATTTTTGTAAGAATTTAAATAATATTTTTGCTTGCATGAAAAACTCATTTACTTGTAAGGTGGTCATGCCTCCCTTGCTATTCTAAAATCACTACACACAAAGCAATAAAATTACAGAGCTAAGCATCCTCCAAGGATGAATTCACAGTGAAGAAAGCTGTGATATATTTTATGCTGTAAATCATGTTGTATCATATCATATGATGATACCCCAGTAGAAGAGAGCTGGTTATTTACACAGTGGTTCTGACTGGAAAATGTAAACAAAGATGAGTCAAGCACCTCAACAATGCATTGACTTGCTAGTTCATATCCAAGCTTTTTAAATGTTGTTCATTTAGTTCCATTGACAACTTGACATGAGGCACCTGTTTTTAAGGTAAGAAATTGGTCAGATGATGAGGTGTCAGTGGGGCTTTCAAGTAAATATAAATCGATTTCCTTTAGTCCATTAGTAAACCAAGGGTATTCTAATCTATGATTGAAGAAAGATGGAATGCTGTAATATGCAGGTTATATGCAATTTAAGGAGCTCTATGACAGAATGACAGTTGTTTTCTGATACATATAAGCTCAAGAAAATCTCCAGTAAAGAAAATAATGTTTTAAAATAATTGTTTAAATAAAATTCACATTTTAACATAGATTAACAAAAGTCTCATGGCTATTCAGAAGCTCTTTTCCCCACTGATATTGTTGGAATTGGCTTGGAAAAGCTCAAGTGTACTTGAACGTCACTGTAGGCATAAACAATTGAGCATTAAAAGGTATGACAGTTGGAGCTTCTTTCCAGAACTAAATGCTCTTTCTTTTTAAGGTCAATTTGAAGGTGAATCCTATTGTTGTGAATTGCTTTTCTCTGCCAGAGGACTTCATTATAAAGAGAGATTCATTGTTGCAGGAGACAGCCTGTCCTGCTATTCTTCCTCATTTCACACTGTATTTCCCCTTACTGAAGAGGTCCCTGCTGTCTGTGGAAAGTCCTGATAATCACATATTCCTCTTTGTACCACTGTTATAAGTAGTATGTTCTCTTTTCTGTTATTTAAAGGTGTCTAATTGTTCTAGGTTATTAGACTATGTTCATAATTGTGGTAAATACCTAATTATTAATTTGAAAATTTTATCTGAGGCAGATTAAAAAATAACTGCTAGCCTCAAGTTATTCTCAGGAGGTCAGTTGCAGAAAGATGTTAAATACTCATCCTGGGTAATAATACAAGTGTTATTACCCAGTGTTTCGTGGGTTTAAGATTCCACTAACTAGACAAAACTTCCATACTCAACTATCACTCCTATTAAATGCATTAATCTTCTTTTCACAGGGTTTTAGAACTTCTGTCTTGTATGCAAGACAGTATATAACAGTTCTTCCTCACTTATTTTTCTAGGTGTTTCCTCAGAAACTCCTCTGGGGCACTTCCTGATTTCATGAGTTACAGTCTCTTCAGAAATAATGGTAATTTATATTTCTCTTCCCAACCCTCCTACACCTCTTTTTCATGCTGAAATGGCCTGAGCTGATGAATCATGGCTCTTTTCCTTTCTTGCTGTTTATCGTCCTGCCCTTGGAGCTTTGAAGATAATAATTCAGGCATGTTTCTCCTCCTAAATGCTATTTTAAAATTAAGAAGTCAATTGAGAATGTTATTCCTAGGAGGGCTGGTGAGGTTTAATATCCAAAAAAATTATATTCATGTCCATGTTAGGAGCAAAGAAATATGGATAGAAGTACTCACCAAAAATCCTAATGAATTTTCAGTTACCTTGATTTTTCACTTCACCTCTCATAATATATTTCATAAAGGTCTGATTTCATTTTTTTAAAAGAAGTTTTCAGAGGTTTTAGGATCAGGACTGTAACATGGACAGAAAAAGCATGTGGAAAGTGGCAGGAATAGTTTTATGATTTGTTTTACTGAACTAGGCAATACGGATACTTCTGATTCAATCTCTTTCTAGGTGCTTATCTCTATCTAAGAAAAAAAAAAAAGGAAGCCATTCATAACTTTTTATTTCCTCAAGGATGTCACTATGTCATTATACAAGGGATATACCATTGCATAAGAGGCTCTGTATGTCAAGGCTCTGTAACAAGCTTCCAAACACCATGAGAGGAATTTGATCAAAGTGCTTTCAGTGTAGAAGGTATATTTCACAACAATATTTAACAGGTGGTCTAATAAAACGGACAATTTTGTTGAATGCTGTTGAGTGATAATAGTAAAATTCCCATTTTCAGACAGAGTCCACCTTCACTTGGTTGTTGTTTGTAATCAGTGGAGAAGGTTTGCTTCTCATTCTGTCTCCTGCATCATTAGAACTATCCTGGAAAAAAACTTTTGCTGTACAAAAATTGACAATAATTCTCTTGTATTCTCTTCTGAAGTTCTGGTTCAGGAGTCCATATACTATAGCATTAAGGCAGCTGTTGAAATATGCCATGTAATAACTAGACACAAACAACCACTCTGGAATCCTAGGGATTACAGTTTTTGGATTGACAGCCACTGCAATGCCTATAAAGTTCAAAGGAGCCCAGCAGACTGCAAACAGTACAAATACCACAAACATGGTTACAAAGTTTCTGAAGTCATGTGGTTTCAGCCTAGGGTTGTTATCCGGTTTAACCCTTCGCCTTACCTGGATAACGAGGATCCATATTCGCAAGTAACAGAAAGTAACTACGGCTATGGGAAGCAGGAAGTGGAAAAACACAACTGCTATAGTGTATGCTGAGCTCACAGACTGTGCAAATGTACAGGAGTAAATCCTGGGGTCATACTGGAGCGATCCCACAAACAGGTTGGGCACGATAGCAACAAATGTTAGGAGCCATATGAGAACAATATAGCACAATGAATTCCTGTCGCTGTACAGCTTGTCATATTTGAGGCTGTGGCAGATATAGCAGTACCGATTGATAGCGATGCCTGTAATATTGAAGATTGATCCAATGACACTTAGGCCCATCAAGAAGCCACTAATCTGGCAGTGTAGGTATCCCAGTTTCCATCCGTTGTGAAACACAGATGTGAGGACCAGTGGATAAGGGTAGATAGCTACTATCAAGTCGGCAACTGCCAGGCTTACAACAAACACATTTCCTGTAAAATAAATATAAAAAGGCAAGTATTAGTTTTTCTTTTGCTCTTTTCTGTCATTTCTGCTCTAGTTATATTAATGAGCAGCCTCAGTGGAACACTTTAAATGTGATCAGTTTCTACTTCCTAGCTCAAAATTCATTGTCATATATCAGAAATAAGCGACTCAATTTTAGTTTTCTTCCAAGAACTGCATCTTTAAGTTAAGCTACCTTTTTAAACTGTCTTTACTATTTTATCTACCATGACCTATTATTTTTATCATGCCATTTATTTGGATTCTTTCAATCACACAGACTTAGAATCCATATCAAATCAAAATATTCATAGCTTTAAGGTTTGCTTTGGTTTTAAATAGTCTCACTTGAAAAATAAGCAAAATATACTATTTCTAAAAAATTTCCAAAATCAAATCTACCTTCTTTATTTAACTTCCTTTCATTGCATCAACTAGCCCTTAACTTGTCTAGTCGTGAAATTAAAATATCTTTTCTCCCATTTATATTTCAAGCTTCCATGACTTGCGTATGACTTTTACATTGTTCGCTTTGAAACTGCTAGCAAGTATTTAAATAATCTTAACTTCTAAGAGTCATTTTGAAAACAGACTCAGTTGTTTTTCCTAAAGACATGCTTTTCAGTAAAAAAAGAGATGCTGGGCAGTGGCCTAGACAGTTCCCAGACAGTACTGATGCCCCATTTTTCTCTGCCTCTAAACTGGAAGATTAGACAATGGAACATTCTGCTGATTCATTTTTAAACAAAGGGAGATTATATTCTTCAAAGACAACAGAATCCATCATGTTTTGAATTCATTTTTTGAGTAATTTTTTTGAGAAGAGATTATATTTTCTGTTTTTAGTTGCTTAAATGATAACCCATCTGAATACCGCCCAACCTTTCTGATTTCTAAGAAGAGGCTCACAAGAAACATTGATGTCACTTTTATTAATTTCTTTAAAATAACTATTACATGTAAAGCATTAGTTATTCATGCCCATAAGTACAGAAAGCTCTCAATTTTATCTTTACTTGCATGTTTGTAGGTATATAAATGCATAGACATTTGATATTCTACTTTGTAGTTTTGAGATTATTCACGGAAGATGAAATACGAGCTTCTATTACAACCTGTAATAAAATATATTATTAGTTTCAGATTATGTACAGTTTCAGTGCTAATCCAAGATGGGCTTGGTGAATTATTCTATGCATTTATTCTGAGCATACAAAATATAAGCAGATAGTAGCAGGTTAGTAGGAAAGACAAAACTATCTATGGACCAATATGGTGTTTTAGCTGCCAAAATTCTCAAAACTACTTTTTTAACATATTATTTCAAATATCTTCAAATGCATAGTCCCTTACCAATCTCAGGCTTTAAATGTCCAGTTAGAAATGTTCAATCTGCAAATACTGTCAGAGAAAAACAGAAATTATCTTTCTCTGGATGCTACCTACACTGTTGTTTAAATTTTGATACATGCACAAAGTACCACATTTGATACTTATACTAATGACACCTGGAACAAATGGCCTCCATTAAAAGACTGCTGCACCAGTTTTTCTTGATTTAGTATCTGGATTTATAAATAACTTTCTTGTGATGGTGTCTGTAGCTGTTTCGTCTTTGACTGGGGATTCACTGCCAGACTGAAATATGCTTATCCTGAAGCCTTTGGCAGAATTCCAGACCATTTCAGCACAAACATCACAGCTTCTTTAAGCAGAAGATGACACAGGAAAAAAAGCACTGCTTTCAGAATTTATCTTTGACGTAGTGGCAACTGATACAAGAACAAGAGACTGTATGGAACTGAGAGCTCTTTGTTTATCTGATGAATCAAGAAGTGGAAAGTAAATTAAAAGGTGCTGTTGGCAGGTTTTTTTTTCCCCCTGTCTGGAATATTGCAGGATTGATTAAGTGGTAACATATAAACCCCAGACACTTATTAAAATGTAATAAGAATATAATAGAATTTTAAAATAGAATTTGAAAAGAATTCTATTTATATTTGCTTAGTAACATTCTGCTTAGCTGGAGACTTCCCATCCTAAACTTTTTTCTCTGCCATCCACTAAAACTTCTGCTGCTGCTCACCATTATAATTTGCTAACATTGCAATCATTTACCCACTTTAGCCAAATGATAAGGACAAAGTTAAAAGGGGTTTTTTCCCTTTAAAAGGTGTGGTATAGAAAGGTGATAGATGATATACATTTCTCTCTGAATAGTTTTAACTTTGGAAACATGCGAGTTTAAGAAGAGTAGGTACTCTTGTCTCTGAATCAGCCAAATTTCAGGCTTTCATAAACTTGTATACCATGGTTGTTCCAGGCTTTTTCAACTGGCTGCTGTAGAATGACAAACTGAAAGTCTTGGAAACACAAGCTGTTTCATGTGAAAATTGCAGGCAAGCAGGAGTATAGGAGGATATCCTAGTAGACTAGCTAAAAGAAAAAAAAAAGGAATCATGAGTTTGGAAATCAAGCCCCAAGCTGCCAGCTCATGGTTAGTATGTCAGCTGAATGAGTAAAGTGCTGGGGGTGGAAACTGCTTGGAAACCAGATACCCATTTGCAGACAGGACTTTTAATTTGCCTTTCAGGAAGGGTTCTTTTAAAACTGGACTTCAGATAAATTTTTGTTATGAGCATGGAAATTGTTTTGCTAAGACAGAAAATTTAATTTAAAAAAAATTGGCATCACTATGATTGTTGAATATTTTGGGGTTCATTTTTTCAGACCTTGAAGTTGAATCTGGAGCTGAGCTTTCATATGTTATATAAAAAAAAATTTAAAAACATGATCCTAGCTTTAGGTACCACAATTACTGGAAAATATTGGTAATTGAGGAAATTCCCATATTATAGTAGCATATTGTGAAATTAAACTCTTATGTTTGTAGCATAAGTGGTATTTTAGAGGCGAGTATCATAAAAAATGTTTATATTAAAGTGTTAATTTTTATCTTCAGAGTTGGGTTTGAATAGAATGCTATAAATGAAACCTGAAGTTCTACAATGAACCCTTCAAAAAGGCCACAAAATCAAAATCTTGAATAACTCTTCCTTGAAGAAAAAGTATTCATTCTCTTTAGAGAGTAAGATCACGTAACTGTGAAAAAATGTGATTTGTGTACCTAAAGAATATATTATTATGCATTAACACCAGCTGGCTGAACTGAGAAGGCAGAGGTTGAATTTCTTGACTTTGACATAAGCCAAATAAGCTTTAATAAAGTTAAGCAAATGTACAGTGGATGTATGTGGGAAGAAAGATAATCTACTGGTAACCAGCTTGAGCAAGATATGTTTTAAGATGCTGTCTAAAGCAATGTTCCACTAAATATTTTCACCACCCTTACTGAAAAAGAAACCTTTCTGCTCATCAAACACATAGCAACATCAGATCTATCTGCTGAATATAAAGCTGCATTAATGCAACAGAAAACAAATGTTTTCCTAGACAATTTGACTTTTCCAAGAGCACAACACAACATTAAATGAGTATAAAAATCTCGACTCTGACAGATTATAATAAAAAATGCTTATGGGATTGCCAAGATATCAAAATGAATAAAGAGCCTCAATAAAAACTACATGATGTAGTTGTATCAGTAGCAACTTGTATTTGCAGAACATATACAAATTACTGTGAGGGTTGTTATTCCCTAGATTTAGTGCTAAGTATGTCCTGAATGATAATTAGAAAGTCACCAGAAATTTCTAGCAACTGAAATAGATGCAAAATATTAATGGAAAAAGATTAAAGTTACATAGACTAGGTGGTGCTGAATGCCTGCCATAGAGTTAGAATGGAGGGCTGAACACTTTGCCAGAAGGTCAAAAATGGCTAATTCTTCTGGCAATTTTAGGAGAACTGAGGGTGATGTGGTCTACAAAGCCCTTTCCTCAAGTGTTAGGACTATGAAGTACTCTTACTCTTCTAAAATATTTAGCCTGGGAAAAATAATCTACTGTAAAAAAGGGAAACAGGTTATGTATGGAAAAAAACCCAATCTTTTAAAGCGTTAGGGGTATTCCAGCTAGGATATTTGGTACTCAGAAAATCTGAGTGAATTTTAGAAAAGAGCTCATATTCTGGCATCATCAGTATGGCTACTTTTTCTTCTTTTTTTCACAAGTTATTTCTATACCTTTTAATATTGGTTGCCAAGTCATTATTCTATTTACCTTTTTCAAGGTTTTTCAGATAAACAATACTTTGGCTTCTTACAACAAATACTTTCCACAAGCCATCATGTTTTCATCATGCAGTTGCATTTTGAAACACATACCATCACATTTCCATTTCTGCTTCAGGTTGGAACAATTTTAGGTGAGGGTTTTTTATCTTTATGCCAACTGGAATTGCTTTATCTTTTAGGTAAGACCAAACAATATGTGCAGCTGTCATTGAAGTAACATAAAAGGATTTTGTTTCAGTGGCCACTGTCTCAGACCTCTAATGTTTACTTGCTAAGTATATCTTTAAGGAAAGAGGACAGTGTAATTGGTCCAACACCATTAATTTTCAGAAGATGAAACTTCATTTCTAATGATCAGATTTATGTAATTCTTATTTACTGTCTTTTCACCACTTGTAAGATATTGCCAGATACATTAACAGTCATTTCCAATTGTTTCATAACTAGCCTTAATTAACAGGATGCTTTCCTATAAATTTTGATCATGTTTTGTAGACATTAAATATTATTTAAATATCATAAAAGTATCATATCATACAAGTTTGTTATGTACACATTTTTTACACATTTAATGGCACAAAAAAATTATTTACATTTTTAAGTACTGGTTTCTGATCATTCTAATACTTCTACAAATTTTCTTCAAGGATAGCTTACAGATTTTTTGGCATTATGAAATCTTTCTGATTAATCTAGCCCTTGTTCAGGATGTTAATTTGGGAATTTATGCTCCTAGCTGAAAACAAGACTATGATAGACGCTCACCAGTGAATGCCTGCAGCATCAGAAACT